CAGGATGGGCCTTCCTGGAAGCTGGAATGTCAGGTTATTAAGGTGTGGAGCAGGTTTGGGAATGTTTAATAAATTATTCCCTGGTATTTCTTGCTTGCAATGTACCTCTCTGATTAGTAAATGTTTTCTGCTCACTGATTAACTTTGTTTATTTCTTAATTAGGTTCAGCGCCGGCTGTCTCGTGGTTCCCAAATAATTGTTTGATTAATGGACCTGGATTTACATTTTCATTAAGCCCCCCCTCAGTTAACAGCACCAGAACAGGCAGATCTGGGTCCTCAGAATGATAATTTTAGCCCATTAAGTAATAACTGTTCTATTGATCTGAGATAATGGAGCACCGGCAGTAATTCCAGGGCTGAGTCACAGATTTCACAGGAATGTTGGGAATGTCCCCCTGCAGCACCTGCTGCTCCAGCTCCCTTGGCCTCCTCTCGGGGATTAAGGGGTTAATTGGCTCCAGTTTTGGCATTGATTGGTGAGGGAGGGCTCCCAGTCAGGGAGGGGAATCACCACACCGGGATGGGGATGGGGATGGGGATTAGGATGGGATGGGGAACAGTGAATGAGGAATAGGATGGGGATGGGGATGGGGGTGGGAAATGGGGGTGAGAAATGGGGCTGGGATGGGACTGAGTGAGGGATGAGAATGGGGCAGGGATGGGAATGGGGACACAAACAGGAATAGGGGCAGGAACAGGGACAGGAACACGAGGACAGAGAGGAGGACGCTGCTCGTGTCAGCCTGAAATGTGTCTGGAGATGCTTCCCCAGTGGGGAGGATGAGACTCTGGGGGGGCAAACAAACCCTTTTCCATATTCCCAGGGGACATGCCAGGCTGTGGGGATGTCACCATGGTGAGGATGTCACCCTGGCAGGGCTTTGTTGCTATATTTGCTCTCGCCACAACCGTGCCCTTTTTCTTTTTTTTTCTTTTTTTTTTTTTAATACTGGATTCTGCTCTCCAAAAGTAGGACACAGCCATCCCACGTGTCTGCTCCAAAGCTCCATAATCTCCTGCCCTGGGCCAGGCTGGGCAATGGTCCTGCTGGGAACCCTCTGGCCAGGAGCAACTTTCCAGGTGCTCCAGGGGCTGCAGATCCAGCAAGGAGAGGTTGGAGGGGATGAAACCCCCCAGAAAACCCCTGGGATTTCATCCTGTTTTGTGGGAGGATGTCACCCCTGCCACTGCCACCAGGATTTGGGGACCTGCTCCAGCTGGGAACGTCCTGACCCAGACCAAAAGCACCACCAAGGCCACAGCCAGGAGCAGGCACAGCCTCAGCCTCCAAAACTCCAAATGTTCACTGGAAAAATTCCATGGTCGAGGATTTACGGAGCTGCCTCTTGGCCAGGTCAGGGCAGATCCTCGTCCCTGCCTCTGCTCCAGCCCTTCCCCACATCCAGCACCGTTATCCTGGGATTTAATCATCCCTGAGGCTCCCAGGAGCTGCTGGAGGATTTATGTCCCTGCACCCAGGACAGGAACTCCTCGCTGATCCAAACCACTCATCCCTCCTAAAATTCCCTATTTCAAACATTTTTCCTCCAAAAGCCCCGAGTTTGCAGGGCAGGAAGAAATTCCAGGAGCTGTTTGGTGATGCCTCCATGGATTCTCCTGGCACAGTCTCACCCCGGTGCCTGCTGTGCTCCAAGGGCAGCTTGCAAACTCCAACACCTGAAAGACAAACCCAGATCCATGAATTAGTGGGAAGAAATGGAAATTCAATCCCTTTTTGAAGTTTAAAAGGAAGGTGCTGTGCCTGAGGGGGGTTGGGGGAATGGGAGCTGCAGCTGGGATGTGCCTCCCCTCTCATGGAGCACCAGGGATACTCAGGACATCCCTGACAGGAATTTCCATCACATTTGGGACTTCACCAGCCCTGGAAAACAAATCCCTGAGCCCAAAATCAGCTGGAAGCAGCTGTATGAATTACAAAATGCCCATTGCTTGGGAATTCCTGCCTGGCTTAAGGAATGCTTTGTGTTTAGGGAGAGAATTGCGCTGCTGAGGACAAGGGGGGATGGTTTAAAACTAAAAAAGGAGAGATTTAGATTGGATTTCAGGAAGAAATCCTTCCCTGGGAGGGTGGGGAGTGCCCAGAGAAGCTGTGGCTGCCCCTCGATTCCTGAAGGTGTCCAAGGCCAGGTTGGATGGAGCATCCCTTCTTTCCCTGAGCCACCCCCTCCTCCCCAAACCATCCCCTCCTGCCCTAAATCTTTCTTTCCTGACCCCAAAACCTCCCCCCTCCCATACCCTGTGCCAACAGCACAATCCCAAAGTGCTGGTTTTTATATTTATTAGCAGGACAATCTGATTTAGGCCCTGCTGACAAATGGGATGTTGTATTCCAGGAGTTTATCCCTGGGGAACAAATAAACAAACACAGCGTTGGAAACCTCATGAATTTTTTAAAGAGCTTATCAAAACCTCTTTTTTTCCCCCTTTTCCCACAGGCAGAGTGGCTGAAAGGGGAAATATCCCCTCCATCTGCATTCCCAGCACTTCTTTTCCCTTCAATCCCTTAATCCTCTTCTTTCCAGCTTTAATCCACACGGTTGCCTCTTTCTTGTTTGGTTTTTTTATTCATTCCCCCCACTCCAAATCATCACAAAACCAACACTGAACCTCCAGAGCTCCATGTCCAAACTCCCACAAAACCCTGAGCATTAAATCATCCCAATTCCTATTTTTTTTCCCTCTTTTTACCCTAGAATGCTCCCCAGTCCGGGAAAACTGGGATTGAAGGGATATTTTCCACCTGGGAGGTCAGTAGGGATAGAAAAACATCAATAAATGAAATGAGGCCCCTTATCCTGCCCTTCCCTGGATGTCACCTCGATAATAGCCCAGACCTGGAACTACAAGCACAGCCTCATCCTTGGGAAGATGGCAAAACCTCTGGAAAAGCTCTGGGATGCTACTCCAGCATCTGCCATGGGAATGGCAGGGACCAGTGGGAGAGAAACTCCCTTTCAGCTGTACCTGCACCCCCCAGGCAAAAAAAACCCAAAAACAAAAGCAAAAAAAACCAAACAGAAAACCACAAAAAGCCCAAACAACAAAAAACCAAAGACAAAACAAAAAAAATCCCCAAAATCCCCTTGAATTTCCAATCCCAAAAGGCCCCAAATGCGACTTCAATCCCGAATTAGTTTTCCCACACCCCAACTGGTTATGGAGCAGAGCAGAACAACACCAGGCTTCCCATTTAAATTGGAGATTCTGACCTTTCTGCTGAGGGCCTTTCCAGCCACCCTGTTTCCAGCTTTTTATTTGTGTGTGTGCGCTGGCACTTCCTAATCCTCCAAATGAGATTGGATGCAGCTTTTTCAATATTATAATGCACTGCATCCTCCTTTTCCCGAGGAGACCTCTGGTAATTAGAAGGTTTTTCAGTGCCCATAACGAGGGCTGCGGTGCTGGGGAGGAGGGGATTGTCCCTCCAGTGTCCCCACTGGGCTGGGCACCCAATATTTGCCTTTTTCCAGCCAAAGCCACCCCAGTGCTGGGCACTGGGAGCCACTGGCTCCATTTCCCTGGATAAGACTGATGCCAGGAACCTCCACAATCACTTTTGGCTCAAAATCCGGCGTCCCTGACGTAGGGATTTATCTGGGGACACTTCAGGCCAATGTCAAAAGTCCCTTGGTAATAACCTCGATGTTTTGGGGGTAAAAACAACCCTCCAAACCCTGTGGAATTGGGTCCTTCTGGTGCAGCATCACTGGGAGAAGGGATTGGGAATCGTTTCCATCGCGCCGTGGTCCTTAAGGAAAATAAATTTGTTGTCCTGGGAAGCCAAATTTAATCCCAACAGGTGGAGGGCACCGTGATCCCATCAGGAGAGCTGGAATTGCAAACACCCCCTGGGGAGCTGCCGAGGGAGAGGATATCCCTGTTTTTAGAAAACACAAGGAAGAATCGCTGCATTTGGGGGGAATATGGAGTTTGCAAAGCCCTCGGGTAATGGGATCCAGCCCAGCCCAGCCCATCCCCGAAATTCCCAGTCCCGGGAGGATTAAAATAGCACAAAGCAGCTCCCAGAACGGCACCGAGGCAGAATTCCCAGCCTGGTTTCCTATGGAAACAGCCCCCTGGGATGCTCCTGGAGCAGGGATGGGAATCCCACAGGGATCGGCCCCAGGCTCGATCCAGCCCTTCCCCGGCTGGGTCCAAACTCCCACAAAACCCTGAGCATTACATCATCCCAATTCCTATTTTTTCCCCCTCTTTTTACCCTAGAATGACCCCGGATTTGCAGCCCCGGGGCGTTTTTTGGGATTGCAGGCAGCGGGAATGGGACATCCATCAGTGCCTGTGCCGGGAGACATCGCTGGCACCGCATCCTAATGAGTTAATTAAGGAAAATCAGGGCAGGAGAGGTGCGGGTCCTTCGGGAATGCTTCCCGAGAGATGCTCAAGGAATTCCCAGGGAACCGTGCTGCCTTCCCACCAGGGGCTCCATCAGGAATGGGGATCCCCACCGGGATGGGGGAACCCCTGGGGGTGTGTTGGACACCCCCCGTTCTCCTGGCACCCGGAAAATTCCCGGCTCGTGTCCCTGGATGAGCCTTTGGGATCCCAAAGATTTGGGAGAAGGCGCTGCCCTAAACAGCTTCAGGAGATTCCTCTGGAGCCTTTTGGAATTCTCTTCTCACCTGACGGGGATGCTGAGGGATTGGGATCATAACCGGGAATGCTGAGGGATTGGGATCCCACCAGAGCCAGCACCGGGAAGGGGATGCGGCTCCCAGCTGCCACCAGAACCCCCAAAAATCCTCCCCCCCAGCGCCTAAAGTTGGCAATAAACGGGGTGGGGAAAAAAATTCCCGCTCAAGTTAATCCCTTTTGAGTTGTAATTTTTTCTTCTTCCCAGGCTCAGGAAGTTTTGGAATTAATTTTTAATGGATCTGACAGCACAAAAAAAAAAAAAAAAAAAAAAAAAAAAAATCCACGTATGCAAACAAATATACCCACAGATATATCCCATGATATATTTATGCAGCTATTTATTTAGCTATGATATATTCATTTAGAGTGCTTATTTAGATCATGTGCATGTATTTACATTTATATATGTAGCTATACATTGAATATACGCGTTTATATATTTGAATTTATTTGTTTATCTTTTAAATGTAGGTTTAATCCTTGCTGGCTCCATTCAGTAATCCTCGGGATTGGTGGGAGGATGGAGCGGGATTCCCGGGGGGATCAGAATCCTCAGCATCCCTCGCTTAGGGCACAGCAGCGGGGTCGGGACCACCCGAGAGCCGCTTCCCGGCACTGAAAAACAGGGAAAACAAGAAATAAATAATAAAATTTAAAAAAAAAGCCCCGATGGGGCGGCGGGAGGGAAGGGGTTAAGGCCGGCACCGGCGGAGGGAGCGGAGCCGCTGGATGGAGACGCTCGGGAGCGGCTGCGGGAAGAGCCGAGCGGCGGCCGCCGGGCCGGGCTCTCCTCTGCCGGCACCGGCAGCACCGGGACGGTCTCCCCGAGCGGTACCGGCACCGGCAGAGCCCCCCCGGCAGCGGGGCCGGGCCGCGGGCAGCGCCCGGAGCCCCCCCGGCCCCGCCGCTCCCGGGGGCGGCCGCGGATGGAGGCGGCGAGGGATGGAGCGGCGACCGGGAGCAGGGCCCGGGGACGGTGAGGAGGGGAAAAAGAGGAAAAAAGGCTCGGGGGAGGGGGCTGGGGAGCTGCCGGTGCGGGGAGAGCAGTGAAACAGCGGCTAAAGGGGAAAAAAAATTAAAAAAAAAAAAAAAAAGCGCTTGAATGAACAACCAAAAAATAAGAGTAGAAAACAACACCACCCCTCAGCCCCCCCCCACGCGGAAAATCAAATTTAAAGAAATAGGAGAAAAAAGGAGCCGGGAGCTCCGCCAGCGGGGGTCGGCAGGAGCCCGGCCCGCCGGGAATTGTGGAATTGTGCCCGGGTGGCTGCGGGAAACTGGGGGGGCACCGCGTCCCCCCGAGGCTGTGCGGGAGTCGGTGATTCCCGCCTCAGCCCGGCGGGGATTTTCCGCTGCTTTCTGCTGCTTTGGGAAGGGTTTTGCTTCGCTGAGAGAGGCAGGCAGGAGAGAGATCTCCTCATCCTCATCCTCATCCTCATCCTCATCCTCATCCTCATCCTCATCCCCATCCCCATCCCCATCCTCATCCTCATCCTCATCCTCATCCTCCTCCTTCCCAGACTTTGTGCAGGAACATCTCCGCCGGGGAAATAAGGAACCTAAGGGAATGTAATCCTGCCAGAAGCCTCTCCCCTGTTTATTTTCCTCTTCCCACATCCATGCTGGCAACTTCGGGGGATAATTGAAGCTAAAGATGAGCAGGGAGAGCAGAGGCAGGAGCAGAACGGCGTGAAGGTAACCTTGAGCTGAGCCCTATAAACCCCGGCCTCCGTCAAGGCAGGATTAAAGAAACTTTCCTGGCACTGCAGAGCTGGCAATGCCAGCCTGGCACTGGGAATTGCAGCCTCGGGGTGCCCACAGCCAGCCTGGCACTGGGAATTGCAGCCTCGGGGTGCCCAGCCTGGCCTGGCCCGCTGCACCTTCTCCTCTGGTGAGTGCTGTACCCTTCCTTCCTCTGGGAATTTCCCTGGGAGTTATCCTTCCTAAGGGGCTGTCCCTTCCCTGGCCTTGGGAAAGAGCTCTCCCTTGGAATATCCAAAGCTGTTGAGCTCCAGGGAATCCTCCAAGACAGGATTTGTTAGATTTTTTTAATGTATGTTATTATATTATAGTTATTCTTAACAATTATTGTGGTTTTATATAGATTGTATTACATCTATTTTATATATTATTAGCAGATGTTACGGTTTTATATTTATTATTTTATTATCTATATTATTAGCCACTACCACGGTTTTTATGTACATTATATTATAATATTCCACATATTATTATCAGTTATTAGGCCTAGAGAGGATTCCTCAGGGGGTTTTGCTCTGTTTTTTGGGATGCCTTTCCAAAATCCTGGTGCTCAGGACCCGAGTCCATCAGGGCTGCAGGTTCCTGGGTCCAGTGGGGCTCATCCCTGTGAATGTCCCTGGCTTTTAGGGACACCCACACCTCTGGTTCCCCTTAGGGACTTGGGGATGGATTTTATCTCCCAGGGAAAAACTCCATTCTTCAGGGGGATTTTTCCCCATGGAAAGCTGGGACAAGCCTCAGCAGCTCCATGCAGAGTCACAATTCCCAGGCTGAGGCAGGATCCAGGAGTGCTCAGCCCAGCCCTGGGAAAATCTCTGCTTCTCCCGACCCCCTCGGACCACCAGGGACTCCCAGAGCAGGGCAGGGATGGGAATGTGTCCTTCCCAAAGTGTTGGCTCTCTGCAGAGCCAGGAGCTCCTCCTGGGACTGGAAAGGAGCGTGGGACAGGAGGATCTGCCCCATGGGAATGGCAGATCCTTCCCAAGCCCGGCCTCCTCTCCCTCCTGCTGCAGGATGGGGGAAAGAAAGGAATCGGCTCTCTTGGGAAAGGAGGTTTGGAAGGAAGTGTTGCACGAAATCCTCCTTCTCACTCCATGAATGTCCGTGGGCTGTGCAAGGCATTGTCTGCTGCTGGAAAAGCTCGTTAGTTAATTGCCCCAGTGCTGCTGTAATCCCAGATTAATGAGGCTGAGGCAGACCTGAGCGTGGGATTTATGGGGAGATTGGATTCTGCTCTTCCCTACCTGGGGAGCCCATGGGGGCTTCATCCCGGCCTGGATGTGCCGGGTGCTCCCTTGGGAAGAGATTTCTGTGACACCCATGAGGGGTCACCCTTCCCAAATCCCCCCTGACCGTCCCCATGGATCCACCAGGATGGGATTTGGGCAGGTCCTGCTGGCTGCACTTGGGACAATCTCCTGTTGGTGTTTCTCATCAGCTCCCATCGATCCCAGAGCCGGGACTGGACTCTGGTGCTCACAAGCTCAGGATAAAACCCTTTGGCTCTGTTTTTTGGGATGTGGGGTTTGCTCCTCCTCGTTAAGCACACAGAGAAAAGCAGCAGCATCCTGCCTTTCCCTGGAATAAGGATCTCCAGCTCGGGATGTGCCGGCAGCTGCGGCTCAGGAATGCTTTTCCACAGTGACAGGGACGTGCAGGTGGCCATGGATGGGGTGGCCAGAGGATTTGAGGAGGATGAGCAGTGCAGGGAGGGCCGAGCATCCCCCAAGGGTGGCTGCCAGCCCCGCCACTGCCTCTGGAAAAGTCCATCCCGTGTATCCTAAAGCTCCTTCTCCTCCGGGATTCACGCAGCTCCGGCTGGGGGGAGATTTGCTGAGGCAGCAGCTGGCTGGGATCCAGCTGTGCTTCCCTGGGGAACAGCCCCGGCCTTCCTCCTCCTCCTCCTCCTCCCGGCTCCGGCTGGGAGCGCATTCCCTGGGATGCACATCCCGCATTCCCTGGGATGCACATCCCGGCTGCCCAAGCCCGACTGAAAACCGTAACTGGATTTTGCAGGACCCTCGGCGTCCTCCGAGGGAATGACATCACCTTTTCCAAGGGCTGGAGTGCCGGGAGGGTGGAAGAAACGGGAGAGGGAGTCTGGGAGCATCCCTCGGTGTCATGAGACCCCGCAATCCGGGCTGGCTTCCCCCAAAAATAGGGAATTAACAGGGAAATGGAGATTTCTCAGCCTTGGGTGCAGGGATGGGGGTGATGCTGGCAGCAGGAATGCTCAGGGAGGGATGCTGGATGTGGTGGGGAAGGTTGGGATCCTGCTCCCCAGCACCCAAATTCTATCACCCTGATCCTACAGGAGGATGCTTCCCGCTCCTTTCGCAGCCCCACCCCAAATTCCCCGGGCAGGGGGGATAATGCTGCTGCAGAGAACTGGATCACCCGGACCCCCGGGGTGGCTGCGGATTAATTAATTAATGAAAATGCTAACGATGCTGGGAGGGGAACACCAAGTCCCACAGCTGGATCCCCGCTGTGCCACCTCATTCCCACCATCCCCAATTCCCTGGACCCTCTCCCTGGAATCTCAGCAATCCAGGGCTATTTCCTCCCTATTTCCTTCCCTGCCTTCGGCAGTGCCGGCTGCTTTTTAAATGATTCATGACTTAAACCCATTTTTCTTTATGAGCTGCTTTTCACACTTGTGAGGGGAATTCAGCCTCCAAGAACCTGGAACGAGCTTTGATGGAATTGTGGGTGGAGGAGCAGAACGTGAAGTAAAAACTCCGCATTTTCAGCTCCACTTGGGCCATTGTGGGGGAGAATATCCAAGCAAAGGAGCAGAGCCACGGAGATGGGATTACCTGGGAATTAGTGGCCTGGAGGCAGCAACATTTCTTTGCTTCTGGGGGCTGGAGCAGGAATCAGCGTCCTTACGGTAGGGATCAGCATCCTTTGGGCAGGAATCAGCATCCCTAGGGCAGGAATCAGCATCCCTTAGATCGAGATCTGGGACCTCCATGGGAATTTGCAATGCCAGGCAACTCAATGTCATAATTAAAAATGGGGTTAAACTTCCTTAAATAACTTGATGAAATAAAATTGCCTTTCTGGGCCAGGCTGCAGGCCCTGGGCTCGTGTAGCTCTGTCCAGTTATTGGAATGAGCCAGGGCAGGATCCATCCTGATGTTCCTGGATTTATTTATAGCTCAGCCCTGGCAGAAACGGGGCTGCTGCCCTGTGGGCTCTGTCCTCTGGAGAGCACAGGGAGCACTGAGCAGAGGTTGTGCAATTAGCACGACCTCATTTCAGAGGAGCCTTTTAGGCACCTTAATCAATTAGTCTGGGGCAGATCCTGGATCCATCTGGATCCCTCTGGATCTCGGTGCCTCATGCCCTGGGAAAGTGCTGAGGGCATCAATAAATCCCCAGAATATTTCAAAATCAGCTCCCTAATTGCGGTCCAAACTCCTCCATGGACTCCCAGCAAGGAGGAGGAGGAGGATTTGCAAACCTTAGAAATCCCCCACAAAAATCCACCAGCAGATGGGCAAATCCTGCCCTGGATCTTCCAATTGAGCCAATAATCCCTAAGGAGAGGTTTTTCCTTTGCATCCCCTGCTGCTTTGGCCTGGAAGGGATTTAGTGGCCCCACAGGGAAGCCCAGGCCTGGGAAGCGTCTCACCCTTGAGGATGAGGATCTGATCCCGGTGCAGCTTCCTGGAATGAGTCTGGAAGCTGCTGAGTCAGCTGCATTTGAGGCTTCCCCAGTGGAGAGGAGGCACAAATCCATTTCTCAGCGAAATGAAGGCAGAGAGAAGCTGAATAAACAAACTTGGCTTTGATTTGAGGGCGACTGACAGCTCCCCCTGCTCAGCTGGGCCCTGGGAGAGGCACTGGAAGGTTCTGGATGCTCCAAGGTGTGCCCTGCTGGGATGGAATAATCCTGATTTATCTCAGCTTCACTCCCACCCATAACAGGGTTTAAATTCAGCCCCGTGCATCTCATTTGCTGCTTCCTTAAAGAGTGGAAAAAGGTGAAAATTCATTTCCATGGGGCTGGAAAAGTGGATGGGCAACTCCACCTGGGATTTTGGGGTACCCAAACTCT